TGGAATTAAATATAATAAGTGGAGTAGTGAAAGAAAGCTAACAAGAATCATGATGGGGTTTTGTTGCCAAAATCCATGGCTCAGGGGGGAGGGGAAGCCTCTTGCACATTTTGTGATGGAATTCTGCCAGGAAGCCTTGCACATCCCTAATTATTTTTACTTATTAAATGTCTTACTTAGAAGCTTTGCATTTAACCTGGTTTTAAAAGAGAGGTTTTGTTTCAAGTTGAAAAGACAGAAGCGGGGGGATGAGGAACATAGGCTGCTACGTGATGAAGCAATAGTCTGTAAATTCCTTTATTCCGCTGAGATGTTCTGTTTTGCACAAAGCTTCAGAATGCATACATGGGAGCCTGACTGTCAAGCCAAGGTCTGTCAGGTCAAATATCCACTTTTCGAAAAGACCCTTGAGCACATATTGCTGTAAAGGAGCCATTAATGCTTATCAGGAAAAAGGCTGTAAGAAAGAAAGAAAGAAAGAAAGAAAGAAAGAAAGAAAGAAAGAGGAAGAGTCATAGTTCAGTGGCAGAGCATACACTTTGCATGCAGAAAGTTCCAGGTTCAGTTCCCTGTGTCTCCAGCTAGCCACTGCCTGAAACTCTACACAGCTGCTGCAAGTAGGTGCTTACAGTATGGCCCATTGGTCTGACTCAGTAGAAGGCAGCTCCCTATGTCCCTGTGCTACTTGATGTAGCAGGGAAGCTGATATTGGCACCAACAGCAACTTCCTTCCTGCAGGAGGTATCTTTAGGGAAGCAGTTTTTTTCAGAACCACAGCATGGGGAGAAATCTGTTACTTGGCCCTCAATAAATTTCTTCCTGGCAAGCAGGTCACACAGCGGTTCTCAGCCTGTGGGCCCCCAGATCTTGTTCAACTACAACTCCCATCATCCCTGAGCTCTGGCCTTGCTAGCTAGCGGTGATGGGAGTTGTAGTTCAACAACATCTGGGGACCCACAGGCTAAGAAAGGCTTAGACCATTTCACTGTCAAAGAGCTCCTGTTGTCAGAATGTTTAGTCAGAATCCCCTTTCTTGTAATTTATATCCATTGGTTTGGGTCCTACCTTCCGGGGCAGCCAAAAACAAGCTTGCTCCATCTTTCATGAGACAGCCTTTTAGATATTTGAGAAAGGCTGTCAAATCACTTTGTGTGTCCTTGTGTGTAGAAACCTCTGGCTTTTGCATGGCTGGAATGCAACTTACCATACCAATTACTCTGCCCACTTTTGTCCCTGACCCTGCCCTCCACTGGCATGTGGAACCTGTCAGGTTGCCCATGAGTATGTGGTCTTTGGGTTGAAAAATTTGTGGGCAACCACAAATTGAATTCAGCAATGGCCCTACTTAGCCTCTTCCTCAAGGTTAGGCAGGAAGAGAACAAAGTTATGAGTGACACCTCCTCTCTCTCACATAATCTTTGGGCCATTCTGTGACAATGGCTGGAGTCAAGGACTAGGTGTCCACCTTATCTTTGAATTTCCTGCCTTTTGTTTGTGAGTGTAATGCAATGCTCTGGTTATTAGCTACACGGGGCAGGAATTTTGCTAGTGTTCTCTTATTAAAATGGGCTGTTTATACAATCCATTACATCTCCTTGTATACTTCCCTTCCTCTGTCTCTGTGATTTCTTTTGCTTTAGTGATTTTATAATTAAATTCTCTTCACACAATAAGGAGTTATCATGATATATCCCATTTATTGTGAACAATTTATAAAGAACTTTTGATGTGCAAATGTTTATGGCCATTCCATACTCTCCAGCATTTCCCAGATGAGAACAGAGACAGTCTTGCAGAAAATACAAGGAGGGAAAAATTAATGACAGAAAATTAAATGCAGATTTATTTATTTATTTTTGCAGGATGGGTGTGTGAGTAATTCATGTACCATCAATGCAAGGTTTGGTGTCTGAACACCCTCTTCCCCTTTATACATTGTTGAAGACTCTTCACAGGCTGCTATGTAGATGGGCAACTGAATGTGGGCCTCTAGGGCTCCTTACCTGGTCGCCAGACCTCTTCCCAGGCCACACCTTCACTGCCCTGCATTATAATCTCCTTGAGTGTTTTTGGCTGGCTGGAATGTGTTCCTGAACTTTGATAATAGCTCTTGCGTGTCTGGATGAAGGATGTGTATGTGTAGAAACTAGTCCGCTGTACAAAGGTAAAATCTGCCTTGTTGCTCTGCTCCACTTTTTGAGCCGGCATGTGGCTCTTGGAAGCCCCTGCCCCCGGCATGTGGACCTCAAGCTAAAGAAGGTCCCCCAGTCCTACATAAACCAACCAGCATAGTTCACTTGAGATGCACACACACTGAACAATGACAACGAAACAGTGCAGAACTGGCACTATTACAGGGGCCATATAATACTCATTCAAAATAAAAGATAATAGTTAAAAAGTAATGAAACTATAAAAATGAAAAGAATTACCGGTAAAATGCAAATAGTGAAAACAACACATCAATATTAAACGTCCTTTCCTTAAAAGCAGCCAGTTCCCAAAGACCTGTCTTGAAAGAAACAGTTTTTACCAGCAGGTGGAAAGTCAACAAGGAGGGTGCGAGGCTAGTCTCTCTAGGAAGGGAGTGTAAAGTCAAGAGGAAAAGCCACCAAGAAGACTCTGTACAACTACTTCTTCCAAAACCTGAATACAAAGATGAGGTTGGCACATTTGGATCAAAATAGGGCTCCTTTGAGATGAGCCCCCTGAAGCAATTTGAAGCAAATACACCCCCCAGATATTTAAAGATGTCCAGAGTTTTAAAAATGCATGACCTAAGCCAGACAGCCTGTCGACAAAATGATAGGGTGTAGGAAAATGCCATATAAGGGAAACAGCAGCATGGGGAAAGGGAAAGGAGTAGAGCTGGAGTTTGCTCATTGAGAAGTTTATCTTCCAATCCACCCAACACTCTCCACTCACAATGTTTGTGGGGAGGGATGCTGATTCTATAAATCTTTTATCTCGGTGCCTTTCCTCCCCATCTTTGGCAAGTTCTCTGAACTAGCTCTTTAAGTGGAGTTTGTTGGTGGCATTTTTAATTTAGTATTGTCTCTTATTTATCCTTAACTCAGCCTTTCTACCTGCTGACTTCCTCTTCATTCTTTTGCATCCTTCCCAATCCATCCCAGCCTTCTTAGGCAGGGTCACTTCCCTCAATCACATCATCTGGCTTAATTCTGGCCATACGGGAAATCCCCCCCCCATTTTATTTACAGCTTTCAGAATCCTATGCATTTGCCCTTCACTTAAAAACCACCCCATCAGTGTTTTTCTATCATCTTCCATCCTTCACAATTCAGCATAGTCCCTTCTTTATTATATAAAAAAGTATTGTAGCTTGTCTATGTCTTAATAATTAACATATACAGTGGTACCTTGGGTTAAGAAGTTAAGAACTTAATGTGTTCCAGAGGTCCGTTCTTAACCTGAAACTGTTCTTAACCTGAAACACCACTTTAGCTAATGGGGCCTCCTGCTGCCACCAGAGCACAATTTCTGTTCTCATCCTGAAGCAAAGTTCTTAACCCGAGGTACTATTTCTGGGTAAGTGGAGTCTGTAACCTGAAGCATCTGTAACCTGAAGCGTATGTAACCCGAGGTACCACTATAGTTATTAGTTTGGCAAATTTCCCCCCATCCTTTCATCCATGTCTCCCTTTGTGCCCAGGCTCTGCTAGCCTTCAAGTGGGCTCTGAAACATGCACTCTACTCTCCCCTTTGAAAGCATTTCCTGAGCCCGAATCAAATGTTATTTGTAGAACTTCAAATATTGCAGCCCATTTGATACACCCCACAATTTAAGGTGTCACTACTAGCACACAAGACCTGAAAGGTTTTGGAGCCAAGCAGTGTTAGAAACAGATATGAAAGCTAGGAGCTAAATGGCACCTTAAACTTGGGTTATGGGCTCAACAATGGAAAGCCTAGGGTTTTTTTTTATATGTAACAATACAAAGCTGAAAATGAATAACTGCAGCTTAAATATTATGTTCATTTTTCATGTGGTCTAGTCCTTCCCCTGCCCACCCCCCTAATATTCATAAGAGGGTCTCTTCTCCAGTCTTCAGAGAGTAGCTGGAAGTTGGAAGGCAGAAAAAGTCCTCCTTTCCTTCCTCTCTGCAGTTTTAATCTGAAATCTTAGGCATAGTACTGCACCCAGAGCTCAGGAACTGCTCGCACTAATGAAATTCCCTGTCGCAAAATGTGTGTAGAACAATGGGAGTTTCAAACACTAGACCCAAGTACCTAATATCAACCATCTCAGGTCCTATGACTGGCAGGTGATGATGTTGCTGGGTGCTGTTCTGAACTGTGACAGGGCCTTCTCAGTGGTGGCTCCCTATTTATGGAATGGCTTCCCTGGCTTCCCTAGTAAGGTGAGTCTATCTCCCTTGTTATTAATGTTCAAGAGGAATTAAAAAAACATTCCTTTTCACCTAGGCTTTGGAAAGATACTATTGCTGGCAACTTTGAAATTATAGTGGTACCTCCGGTTGCAAACAGGATCCGTTCCGGAGGTCCGGACGGATCTTTAGGTTTTTGCAACCTGAGGATCACTGTTATAGGCATGCGCACAGCACTATACCACTTCTGCACATGCACACATGGCGAAACACTTCCGGGTTTGCTGCTTTTGCAACCTGAAGTTTATGTTACCCAAGGGTAACGTAACCCGAGGTGCTACTGTATTATCTGTGAGCATACATGACTGTTAAACATGTTTTTAGATGCTGCATCCACCTAAGCCTACTCAGAGTAGACCCATGGAAAATAATGGGCCTAAGTTAGTTGTGTCCATTAATTCCAAAGGGTCTACTCAGGGTAGAACTAATGTTGGATACTGCCCAGTGATTTAAAATTATGTTTAAATCTTTTAACTGCTTTTTTTTTAATTGCATTGTTTTACTACTTTAGTGTTTGCCTCTCTGGGGTCCTTAGGGAGGAAGGGCCGGAACAGAAGTGTAATAAATCAATAAATAATTATGTTTGTTTAGTCACATGCCTGCCTCGGATCAAAACCAGAGTGTCTTGCGCCATTCAGCCATCAAGCTCGACAGGACCATGTGACCTGGCCTTTATGAAAAAGAAGCTACAGCAATGTCTTTTGAAAGAGCACTGCAAAGATGCAAAGAGCCAGGGTCGTAAGAGAAGAGAGAATGCTGTCTGCCACAAGAGAGCCTGATGATGAAAGCCACCAGTGATTAAAAAAATATTTAATACCAATTAACATGGCAAGCCTATAATATCTACTTATCTAAACTGCTTGGGAATTATCCGCTTTTCACCCCCTAACCTACCCGCTAATTTTCACCAAAAAACACAGGTCAGGCTTTAGCTACCCCAATTAGTTATTTGGATGCCACACAAAGAAGAGGCAGCGTGGTTATCGCAAAAAATGAGAGAGGGGAAGAGAATCGGCAAATCTTAGACATTGTGTTAAAACAACAGATTTTAGGGTGTTTGATTTACCATTCAGCTCCACGCAGCTGCAGCTTGGGAAATCGGAAACATGCCAAAGAAAAGATGCTGGGGTGTTTAAAAAAATACACACAGGGAGGGAAAAAAGGAGGAGAGAGAAAGAAAAGAAAACCAGAAGAAAGGGAAGTCAAAGATATTTGCAAATTTAACTAGATTTTAAAGTCAGCCTTGGAGAAATAAACCCACAGAGGTTTCCTGTGCGCAGTTTGCTACTAGCTTCTCTGCATGCACAGGTTCCAGCCAGTCGTTTATAGGGCACATCAAAAACCTAAAAAAACAAAAATCCAATCTTCTTCCAGTTGCTTATTAATTTATTCACTAAAAGAGTTCTATCTTGCCCTTACCAAAATATGGTCTCCAGGCGGTTTGCGAAAGGGGGGCATTATAAAAACATAATGCATATGAACAGAAAGATTAAAATTATTCTCATAACTTACATAATTAACAACACCACAAAAATTATGTAACCCATCAGTTTCTAAATGTTGGATGAAAGAGATGGGTTCTTAACTGGTATCTAAACTTATATAAGGTTGTGGTAAGATGCCCCTCAGTGAGGTCATTCCACAGACAGAGAGCTACCACTGAAACGACTCTTCTATGGCTTCTGCACTTCATTAAAATCAGTGACCACCAGGAGAGCATCTTCTGCTGATCTTAACAGGTGTGTAGGTTGAGACGGGAGAAGGTGTTCTCTCAGAAAGTTTGGGAAAACTTGTCATCTAATCACCTGAACTAATTGTTGCTCACCATAGGTGATCAGCTAATGGCCATTTATAACACCTATTAAAGCTATTCTGAAAGAACCTGTGGACAATGGTCAGAGCTGGGCTAAGATCAGTAGTGAATCGTACTATTGCTACCCAGACAAAGTTCCAGCCTGAAAAGGAAGCCTTTATAGTTCTTCCAGAAGAGGAGGAGCTATTAGCTAGCCTACTAGACACTGGGTGGTTTCATTATGAAGCCTAGGTGCTCCAGAGCAAGTGTGGTGTAGTCTCATTGGACTAGGATCTGGGAGACTAAGGTTCATATCTTCACTCAGCCCCCTGAAGCTCACTGGGTCACCTTGGACCTAACCTATCTCACAGGGTGGTTGTGAGGATAAAATGGGGAGCAGAAGAACCATGCTGCACAAGCTCCTTGGAGGACAGGTAGGTTATAAACAGAATATTTTTCCAAAGTTTGGGGAGGGGTTTTTAACATACAGACTTTTCCACTTACACATTATTGAACACCAATAAAAAGCTGGGAGAAAGGAATGGAAATAATTCTAACACCTGAGTATGTGTGGTAGTGGAATGGATTTGCATTGTCCACCAATATGGTTGAGGACTAATAGCAGCTGTGAGAAAGTTTAAAGAACTTAGCAAAGAGTCAGTATTAAAAGAAACAGACTAGCTGTGAAAAATCACAGATACACACACGGACTAAATTGGGGGGCAAGAGACAATACTTATCATAACCCAGTGTGGTGTAATGGTTAGATTGTCTGCCTAGAACCTGCCTGGGAGACCAGGGTACTAATCCCCACCTGGCATTGAAACTCACTGGATGAAATTGGGCCTGTCACTGCCTTCCAGCGTAACCTAATTCACAGGGTTGTTGTGAGAATAAAATGGGAAGGTGGAAAACCACACTCCTAAGAAAGAGGAAACTGAGAGGAGAAAGGATAGCCACATTCAAATATATAAAGGGCTGTCACATGGAGCAAGCTTGTTCGTTCTGTAATGGAGGGTAGGGCCCAAACCAATGGCTTCAAGCTACAAGAAATGAGATTCTGATTAAACATCAGGAAGAACTTTCTGATGGTAAGAGCTATTTGACTGGAACAGACTCCCCCGGGAGGTTGTGGACTCTCCTTCCTTGGAGGTGATTAAGCAGAGGTTGGATGGCCATCTGTCATGGATGTTTTAATTGGGAGCGGCTGCCGAGACCATATAACACCGGTCTTGAAAGACCTACATTGGCTACCAGTAAGTTTCCGAGCACAATTCAAAGTGTTGGTGCTGACCTTTAAAGCCCTAAACGGCCTTGGTCCAGTATATCTGAAGGAGCGTCTCCACACCCATCGTTCTGCCCGGACACTGAGGTCCAGCTCCGAGGGCCTTCTGGCGGTTCCCTCACTGCGAGAGGCCAAGTTACAGGGAACCAGGCAGAGGGCCTTCTCGGTAGTGGCGCCCGTCCTGTGGAACGCCCTCCCATCAGATGTCAAAGCAATAAACAACTACCTGACATTCAGAAGACATCTGAAGGCAGCCCTGTTCAGGGAACTTTTTAATATGTGACATTTTAGTGTATTTTTTATCTTTGTTGGAAGCCGCCCAGAGTGGCTGGGGAAACCCAGCCAGATGGGCGGGGTACAAATAATAAATTATTATTATTATTATAATTATTATTATTATTAATTGAGGTTCCTGCATTGCAGGGGGTTAGACTAGATGGCCCTTGGGGGTCCCTTCCAACTCTACAATTCTAAATTCTTTATGCCACCGTGAGCTCTTTGGAGGTAAGGTAGGATACAAATATTATAAAAAAGATAAATAAATAAGGTCTTACGTTGAATTCATGGCAAAACTGAGAAAGAGTCTTGTCTGAAACCTTGGATAGCTGCTGCCATTCAGAATACACAATACTGAGCTAAATGGCCAAAGGTCTGACTCAAACTATTCCCTATGTTCCTTATGTACATGCATTTGTTTTAAAACACGTCCTGTTTTTTCTGTTTCAACAACATTCAAAGTAACTAACAAAATAAATATCAGCTACACGCAAAAGAAAGCAAATATAATAAAAAATTCTATTTTAATAACCAACATTTGCTTAACATTTATCTTCTGCCAAGTGTACAATATACACTCTATACAATACACACTCTGGTTATCTTCAGAGGTTTAATATCCTAGACCAAGTTGGCTCAGAATAGGCGGAGGTGCTGCCATTTTAGGGTTCAACAGGGAGTGTAAAAATAAATAAATCAGAATTAGAAAAGGAACTGAAAGGAAAACGAACAGCAGGCTTCAAAATCCTGGTCTTGGACACATCCAATATTAAACTGGAGGGAAAGCAGCCCTTTTTAAGAGCCATATTCCCCCCTCTCTAAATGATGCACCTGGCCAGAGTTATAGCACAACACCATAAGTGCTTTGGGATCTGTTCATATAGCACATCTCACTCTATAAAACCTTTACAGCATGGCAGTCCTGGTCAACCGCAGCCATAAAAGAATACCAGGGTGATGATGCTATATAAATGGATCTCCCAGTTCTTGGCTGTTGGTCACCTGCAATTCTGCACACAGCACCGCTCAACTCACCCTAAAGAGGTTTGAAATTTCGCAGAAGGATTTCATTTATGGTACAGTTGTGGGATCACTTTATGATGCCTGTGCTCAGTCAGCCATCTTTTGTGCTAAGCCAGGGATGGGGAACCTCAGGTCTGCGGGCCAAATGTGGTCCTCCATGGTCTTCCTATGTGGCCCTCAAGACTCTCCCTAGGTTGCACAGCTGCATGAGTCATAGCTCACCAGTTATGCATTTCAACTTCCTTGAGTGTTTTTTGCTTGGCAGGAATGTCATTGCACTCTCATAATGCCTGTTGCTTGCCTGAATCGAGGATAGAGAGGGATATTCTCAGTCTGAAGTGCCTACTGTAGAAAAGGAGCATTCATTTATTTTTACTGTATTTGAAAGTATTTATGTATCACCCTCTTGCAAAACATCAGGGCGGTGTATTTAAAAATGATACAGAACGATCATTAAAATAACTGGCTACTCAAAAAAATTCTGAACAGCTGCATAGGTCTGTCAGCATAAAAAAAAAAGCCTTGAAGAGATGCTTGAAAGTCAAAAATGAGGTTGCCTGATGACTCTCTACTGGAATGGAGCTCCACAGCATCAGAGCAGCGACACTTAAATTTCCTGAAAGTCTTCTTACCTGAAAAATTTCTGTGTTTTATGTGACCTTTTCACACAATGTAAAAATCACTTCTGGAAATCTAGAAGAATCTTGTAGAAGTTTAGCGCCAGTTCCCATGTTAATTGCTTACAGGGGAAAATATGTCTGCAACCCCATTAACCCAGAAAAAAACATGGGTGTTTCGCTCTGTCCCTGCTTCTTTTCATTGCTCATAACACCACCACTCACATGAGAAAATTTGGGATAATATTCCAGCATATAGTTGTTTCTCACTGTTGTTCATGGGTGAATCATGAGTGAGCAGATGTGCATAGAGGGTGCTGACATGTCCAGTGATGTCTAGTGTTGTGTCAAACCATGGCTAGTGGTGTGAATGAAATTCAGTATGACAATCAAAAAGCCACAGTTCCAATACGCAACAAGTAATGCAGTGTGAAAAGGAACATTAGGAACAGGGGCAGAAGCACTAGCATTATAACCAGGAAAACTAACGTAATCATCCCCATGTCCGAATGCACCCTACTTGAGGTCAGTCAAGTAACAGCACGCCTCTGGATGAGTTCAGTTACTGGGCTGCGAGGCAAGAGTTCCAGTGATCCTTAAGGAATCATGGACCCAAGTTGCTCAGGGCATGGTACAGCACACAGGAGCCTTGAAACTAGCCTAGCAGCCAGTGTAGATGTTTTAGCAAAGATTTCACATGCTGTCAGCCGTCTGCCCACATCAGCAGTTTAGCCATTGCATTCTGAACTAACCAGAGCTTCTGGACATCAGTGGTTTGATGAATGCAGTTGTTGATTTAAATATTTTTAGGCCACCTCTTAGGGCAA